CCCCAAAACCCCAAAACCCCAAAACCCCAAAACCCCAAAACCCCAAAACCCCGTTTGGAAGGAAGAGTTTAATTTAAATGGTTGACATTAAAATACAGAGTTTGGTCTTGGTCAATGTTCTGTCTAATATATGATATGCTGTTATTGTACCGTTCTTACCGATTGAGTTGGATAAGTATGACCTGCCAGTGGAAGTATTTGGGTATATATTTGGGGTTTATGCACTTGCGATAATGCTTGGGTCGCTTTTTATTGGAAAGTTACTCGCAACTTTTGGGCGAAAGAAAATACTTATAGCAGGAATTTTCTCAATGGGGCTTTGTATGCTTGGATTCTCTTTGATAGATTTTATCCATGACAAAGTAATGCTGGTAACTGCATGCTTAATAATGAGATGCTTGCAAGGAATGTCATCAAGTATGATTCAGACTACATCATATGCGATCGTAACAGTTTGATATCCGGAGCAGAAAAAGAAATATTTAGGAATCATGGAAACAGCAATTGGAATAGGATTGTGAACTGGACCAATGATAGGATCTCTGCTTTATTCATTTCTAGGATTTAAACCGACCTTCTACATCATTGGGTTTGCTTTTGAAGTGCTTGGTCCTATCCTTTTCTTTGTCATACCAAGCGCAATAGATACTAAAGATACTCCTCATCTTGACTGTAGTAAGAATTCATCTGGGGTATCATCAAAACTAAAGCCTGTAAGCTATATTTCATTGTTAACAAACCCGAAATATCTGATAAACTCGGTCGTGCCTTTTTTGGCATACTTTAATTTGGTTTATCTTGAGCCAGTTCTTGCTCTCAGAGTGCTAAGTTTTGGAGTAGCTCCTTATTTTACAGGAATACTTGTATCTGTCTGATTTGTGGGGTATACAATTGCAAGTATTTGAATGACTAATCCCCATCTTCAGAATTATGATAGTAAGAAACTTATCCAAATTGGGTTATTGCTATGCGGAATATCTCATCTGTTTATGGGACCTGCAGTTTTCTTACCTAATAAGCTTTGGATTATTGGAATCGGTCAATATTTTGTGGGAACGTTCTCAGTTCTCCTTTTGATCCCAAGCTTGCCTGAAATGATTCACATAGCTAATCAATTATATCCTCATCAAAAACTTGAGTCTTCCGACCTTTCTTCAGGAGTGTTTAACTCAATGCTTGGATTGGCACAGATGATTGGTCCCCTTTTTGGAAGCTATATGACAAGCATTTTTGGCTTCAGAACTTGTGGGACTTCAGCATCTGTGATACTTCTAAGTTTTGCTATCGTCTATTTCCTAATAGAATTCAGAAAGGCTCCTGTAAAACCCCAAGAGGTTTTGTTAGAGTTTAGTGATCAAAAATTAATGGATGATGATCAGAAATCATTTGAAAATCAAGGCTAAATAAGAGTTCATAAAGAGATAGGAAATAACTCTCCTTCCCATTTCCAAAATGTAAAAAGGGGTTTTGGGGTTTTGGGGTTTTGGGGTTTTGGGG